GTACACTCATAATTTTACAAAAGAAACGTCATTTATGTTTATTTATATTATTTATTTATCCTCGTAGCATTCATTTGGAGAGCAGAAAGTGAGGACAAAAAAGCACTTGGTTTTTGGGGTACATAAAATCCCTGATATCTCGCGGCACAGAAGACCTAAAAAAAAGTCGACGGTCTACGTCGATTCTCCATGATCTCAGCTTTCGAATGATGTAAAAAATGTTGAGGCTTTTTTGCTTCCCAGCTCTAAAAATCATTTTCTCCGGTAACCGATAAAAGCCAATACATTGGTGGAGCTGGGTGGAGCAAGCTAATAGTAAATATCTCCACCCCATTTTTGAAAACTGGTTAGTTTTTTCGCCAAGCAAGCTATATACCATTCGAAAGCTCAGGAAAAGGGGATTCGACCTAGACCGTCGGTTTCTTTCTAGCCCCCCTCTACCGAGAGATACACCGCATTTTATCTGAACACATGGTCATTTTCAACAGCAGATTTCTGCCAAATGAAGACCTAATCACTGCCGATTATCTATCTGTGTTAAAGAGAAGTCTTCATTAACAAACGTAGACCGTCGACTTTCTCGTAGCATTCATTTGGAGAGCAGAAAGTGAGGACACAAAATCGTTAATTTTTGAAGCACATAAAATCCCTCATATCTTGCGGCACAAAAGACCTAGAAAAAAATCGACGGTCTATTTCGATTCTCCATGATCTCAGCTTTCGAATGGTATAAAGCATGTTGAGGCTTTTTTGCTTCCCGGCTCTAAAAATCATTTGCTCCGGTAACCGATAAATGCCAACACATTGTATAGGTCGTCCCGAAAGTTTTTGCGCACGATTTTTAAAAATTTATAACTTCTGATTTTGTTAACCGATTTAACTGCTTTCACTTTTATGTAAAAGGATAAGTCATGCTCCTTACAATGACATCTCAGCTGCTTAGTAGTGAACGTCTGTTGCATAGATAGGAGCGATAGAAGAAAATCGGTCAAAATTTTAATTTTCTGTGTAGGGCCATGAAATCGGAGACTTGCAACAAAAATCGAAGCAGTCAGTATTGTAGGTTCTTTCACCAGCTCTTTCTGATAGTGCAAAGTTTGCGCTGATTGAGGGTCTCTATGAAAAGTTATGATTTTTGAGCAAGCAATACGAAAGGGCGAATTTGATTTATTTTGGCATTTTTCAGGGAAATCATAACATTTTATAGAGACGTTCAATTAGCGCAAACTTTGCACTGTTAGAAAGAGCTGGTGAAAGAACCTACAATACTGACTGCTCCGATTTTTGTTGCAAGTCTCCGATTTCTTATGACCCTACACAGAAAATTCAAGTTTTGACCGATTTTCTTCTATCGCTCCTATCTATGCAACAGACGACCACTACTAAGCAGCTGAGATGTCATTATAAGGAGCATGACCTACCCTTTCACGTAAAAGTGAAAGCAGTCAAATCGGTTGGAAAAATGTGAAATTATGAATTTTTGAAAATCGTGCGCAAAAACTTTCGGGACGACCTAATAAGAGCGAGGTGGAGCAAGTTAATAGTAAAAAATGTGCTGTGGATTGACATCGTTATCAGCACTAACTGGAACGTGAGCGAACGCGTCTATTTGAGCGTGCTTGTCGTTGTTATATGTTCATGTTTTTTTTTGGTAAAAAGTGCGCTTTTGATTGACAGTTATGCCATCATTATTAGCACGCACTCAAAAAACTACGGGAGATTGGTGAATTTCCACACCTTCACACAAAAAGCTGCCCATTTCTGAAATCTATACTCTGTAAACCTAGTGCTGAAGAAGGTCACTTTCGTGAAAACGCTCTAGACTCACCTTACCTAATTTGTAGGGAATGGTTGTTTCAATGAAAACTTTAAGACATTCAGAAGAATAACATGTTATTAAAATATCCCGCAATGTTTTGGAAAGGTTGGCAGTTTGAAGAGGAAACGGCAGGCAGAATACTTTACAAAATCGCAGATGACTCGCATGTGTTCCAGTTCCACAGCGAGGCAGAAGGAGAATTTTAGGTCGACGAAAACGTTGTCGACATTGATACAGAGTTGACAATTAAGCGAAACTCTCTGATTTCCTGCATAAGGAATCCAAGCAGATTGTCTAGTTTCAATGAGGAAATGTCCAGGAATTCCATTGCTGATCTTCAAGTTGCTGAAGAATTCATGGCTGCTAAATTCACAAACATGGAATGAACAAAAGGAAGGTGTTAGTACAAAGCATAGTTACTGCACTTTGATCCCCGCTGGAGTGCGAACCCAACTCTGTGCTTTATGCTTTTGGAAGTTATTCGCCTTGTGACATTATGACCTATGATATTGAAAAAAAAAACAACGCGCAGCATAGTATCTACTTTTTTCGGCTATTCCGCAGATGCTGTTAAAGAAGAAGTTGAGCAGCTTTCTCATCAGCTAACAGGACGTATGCCAGAGGGGGTGAAGCCAGAGTTTGACAAGGCCCAAAAATGTATGCAATATTTCCTTTCCGTGTTGCGAAAGCATATGCGATCTGGCTCTTTTCCCATTACTTCGTAAAAATCTGATGGGCTTACTGGCAAAGCTAGTTCCATTCCGACTAACACGGCAAAGGTGGAGAAAGAAATTTTCTATCTACTCTGTTATCAGAACACAACGCAGAAGTCGTATAACGATGGGGCAGTCAAAATTACTTGAGGTTTGTCAACCTTCTACTAAACATATTGTTATCTAAAAACTTCATGCAAAGGATTGGTCTAAGTGGTCCAGACAGGCTGTTACCGTATGACTTTTTGAAATATCCTAAAAGATGGTATGAAGAAACTGGTCACCTACCTGCTGATTTTTCTGGTGCTACCAGAGGGCCAGGAGAAAATCACAAAAGCGCTTAGAAGAAGAAGAAAGTTTAAATCCATTTTCGACTCAGAACGCTTTTGCACGCAATTCTACTTCTACTCCGATGACCTTTTGGAGGAAGAAGAAGATTTTTCAGGCAGCGAACTTGTTGTCTCTGACATTAGCGATAGTGATATTTTTGATGATGATGTTTAGGAATTGAAGTTGTTCTTAACTTGTACATCTTTCGGGATAAACCTTATTGTTTTCGTTTTTTGTTGATGCAATGAAACAGGAGCACAGATCTTTATAAAGTCTATTTTTTTAATTTAATTTCTTTTTAAATTTTTAAATTTTTTTTCAATTTGTGCCTAAATAAGGTACAAATTAGAGCTCTTCATACCACGCTTTTTTACCTTTTCTCTTTTCTTCCCCTCCCCCTAGACTCACATACCCCCCCTCACCCTGGAAGGTCGGAAACAGCCGACACCCCCTTCACCTGGGGAGAGCCCGGCTCCCCCTATCGCACCTATGATTCCGAATACATTATTAGTTTTCAGGATCGTCCATTACTTTTATCGATTTTATCGATTTTTTTTGTAAAGTTTGACCTGCGGGGCTGGGAGTTTGCACAGGGGGGTAATCGAGCATGCTGATTACGAACACAATATTAGTTTTCAGGATCGTCCATTACTTTTATCGATTTTATCGATTTTTTGAAAATTTGAGCTAGGGGGCTGGAATTTGGCACAGGGGTGTAATCGAGCATGCTGATCACCATGCTCAAACTTTGCAAAAAAATCGATAAAATCGATAAAAGTAATCGATAATCCCGAAAACCAATATTGTATTCGGAATCCCCATGCTCGATTACCCCCCTGTGCCAACTCCCAGCCCCGTAGGTGAACTCAGCAAAAAAATCGATAAAAATCGATAAAATCGATATCGATCGATGACGAAAAGTAGCCTATGACACCCGCCGGGGCCCGTAGTGTATGTGTGCCAAGTTTGGTCCGGATCGGTTCAGAAATGGAATTTTCTATTCGGAACATACGTACACACAGACAGACAGACATACAGACATACAGACAGACAGACAGACAAACAGACATTCAGCTTTATATATAGGATGTGACTGTGCTTAATGAGTAGATTCAGTTAACATCCAAAACTGACCCACTGCTTCCATCTTTTTACAACGTGCCTCATTTTTCCGATGGACAAAATTTCAATCTTCAAGTTTATATCAGACGAGAACTGCGCGGCGTATGCGGCTTACGTGGCGTACCCAGCGTACTCTCCATATTTGTATGCACATGTGCGTACGCTCGTACTCCACGTACGCTGCGAAGTCTGAACTCAACCCCCAAAACTTTGTAAAGGAGGGTCATTTGACATTTAACGATATTGTACTATTTTGAAAAAATAGCACCTCTCTTTGTGTAAAGTTGATTGAAACTGCTGAGTTTTAGCACGTAAGGCCATCCGAAAGTGCTAAGAATTTTGACCATAGCGTCCTTCTATCAATAGATTATCGTCCTGTTGTGATTTTGAAGTATCGTGATCCGAAACGTTTAACGCGCGTAGTAATTTCTAGATGTGAAGACCGCTCAGAAAATCGTAGTCCTGATGATGCAATTGTTTTAAAGGCAGCGTCCAGGCAGATCTGAACCTATGGGGCTTTTACGTGCAAAGTACTTTTGGGGCCCTAACTAAGGCAATGCCCAAGCGGCAGCTCAGGTAGTGCTGTAATGGCTGAGATATTCCCCTCGAAACTGGCCCCGCGAACGTATTCGCATGGATTCATGGCAGTTTCGCGCCAGGATCCACGCTTTGCGCCATGAATCCATGCGGAACACGGTCGCGGGGTCCAGTTTCGAGGGGAATATCTCAGCCATCACAGCACCACCTGAGCTGCCGCTTGGGCAGTGCCTTAGTTAGGGCCCCAAAAGTACTTTCCACGTAAAAGCCCCATAGGTCCAGATCTGCCTGGACGCTGCCTTTAACATGATACGACTGTGTTATAGAATAGACATTTGCTACGTCATCGAGCCAACAGATTGCAAGCGCGTTTTTGCATCATTACGAAGTCGGATGTTACGCAATAACATGCTTTCATAAGTGCCTTTTAGCAAAATTATATGGAAACACTTGGCCACATTTGATGAAAACAGTGTTCGAATAATGCCACGAGAGTAACATCACTTGTCTCCCACTTGCTTATGCCGGTATTTCTTCATAATTCTTAATAATACATTAACACCAAACTTTTACTGCAAACTCGAACTTTGCAGATGAGTAAGACACCCTTAATATCTGTATTTCTTGTTTTGTACTGCACCACTATTGGAAATCCAGAGTGCACTTGTGATAGCCTACCCTACAGTACCGGTGGTTTCCGTTATCAAGTGAGTTATATTCTTTCAATCTTGCGTATAAGGAAATTCTTGAACTTGTAATATTGACCGTTGCCGACGAATAGCATTAGTTGAAAGGTTTACTCCAAAAGTCGCCACTCTCCGTAACTGCTATTTTCTCTGTTTTCTGTTTTGGTTTTGTGGACAACTAGTCGAGCATCCTTTCATACATAAAAATTGAATATAGCCTCTCAAAAAAGGAAGCGAATTTGATTCAATTATTTGTAAATACATGATTTATCTTGGTTTGTAACGCTAAGCTCAAATGTGCATTCACTAACTGCTGCAGTCAAATAGTTATTTATTGTGCAAATTTAGCATGCAACAGATTTGAACCTGTGACTTTTTCTAGGGCGTAACACTTATCACTTTATCAACACTTACTTAGATACTTAGATGGCCCGTCTTCACATGTCGTGCGGGCCCCAGTACAGAATTTCCTATTGCTCCCTGTCCCTCGCTTCGGACATCCACGAGTCGGTGGTTGCGTCCACGAGTTGCAGGTGCGAAACACCACTATCCAGCTGACTTCTCAACTGATCCATCCGTTCTACGAACACGTCTGCCCATCTCGTTGGTGGTCTTCCTCGGGGACGTTTGGCTTCGCGAAGAATCCATCAAATGTCCTTAGTGTCCATCTGTCATCAGTTCTTCTAATGATGTGACCGGCCCATCGGTGTCGTTTTCGCAGCTAGTCCGCTGGGCCACGAAGACGGGACATTCTTCTCATATCCGTGCTGCGAAGTCCGACTAAATATTGCTTGTGTCGGGTCATCTTCAGAAGACTGCGCTCGAGCGCTCTGTGGGCGGTCCTTGAAGCTTTCGACGTGGCTACGGTGTCGGCCCAAGTTTCAGCTGCATAGCAGATCGCTGGGAGAACGGTTGAGTCGAACAGGTGGCACGAAGTTCCGGAACCGTCAGTTGGTCGGTGGCTTCCTTCAGAGGCCCGAAGGGGCCCAAGCTGCTCTTCCCTCAAGTCGTTCTCCATGTTCATCGAACGTCCGAGATACACGTAGGAAGACGTTCCCATGGTAGGGGTGCCTTCCAATTCCATTTCTGCATCTTCGCAAAGGGCGTTTTTCATGAACTGCGGTGTTCTTCTAATTTATTCGCAATCCTTTTTTTTTCTACTTCGTTTATTTCCTTCAGCATCGTCTCTGCTTCAGTGATACTGCTCGAAAAGAGAACGATGTCGCCCCGGAAATGAAGATTCGACAGGAATCTCCCACCCACCAGTGATTTCATCACTTACTGCAAGGTCGCGGTGAAATTGTGTCGCCTTGTCGGACCCCCTTCCCAATTGAGATGGTCAGGGGACGATGGAACAGCTGCATCGTCGTTGCACAGTCCTTATAGCAGTCGGCTGACGTCCTCACGTAAGCTGGGTCCACTCCATGATCGACTAGCGCAGACAGAATGGCGTTGGTTTCGACTCAAAGGCTTTCTCGTAGTCGACGAAGGTTAGGAAGAGAGGCAGTCGGTACGCACGGCAGACTTCTAGACTTTCGAAACCGTCTGGATGTGGTCCATGCAGCTGAATCCTTTGCGAAATCCAGCTTACTCTTGGGGTTGCGCTTCATCCAGTGTCCTGGATATGCGAACAAGGATAATCTTCGTGAAGAGCTTATACAGCACACTCAGCAGGCATATTGAACGGTAGTTCCGAACATAGGTGCGATAAGGTGAGAATGACTCCTCCAAGGTCAAGGGGTCATAGTGGTAGCAGCCCCTCCGGGGTGAAGGGTGTTGGTTGGTTGAGAAGAAATGTCGACCGGGGGGGGGGGGAAGAGGAGTGATGGTGTTCTCTCATTATTTTTCCGAATCAAAGTTTATTATTTCAAATTTTCTTCCATCATTGGTCGTCTTTTTTTTAACGTGAAGACTGAATTAGGATTGGGAACACCCTGCATATTTGCGAAATTACCATAAGGGATGTCTGTGGAGTACTCTGTTTCGGGAAAGAGGTAGGCAATATTTAAGTATTTACGAATTTTTTGAAAGAAAAAATTTATAACTTCTGTAGATGAACAGCAACGTCAGTAAGGGAGATGTTTTCAAAACCACCTTGTTTTCCGCTTTTAGAGAATTTATGATTTGCTTGGAGTCTGTTGAAAAAGTGCCTGGTAAAGGGTGTGAGTAGTGATTTCTGGATATTTACGAATTTTGGGATAAAAAAATCGTAACTTCTAAAGATAAACAGTTAGTACGCGAAGATAATCACCATTGGAACCGTCTCGTCCTCGGCTTCCAGAAAATATATAGCGTGTCTGAGATTCATTCTGCATGGGTGAAGGGTGTCCTAGTGATTTCTGGAGATTTTCGAGTTTTTAACATAAAAAATTCATAACTTTCGCAGATGAACATCTTGTACGCCGTGATGGTCACCATTGGAACCATCTCGTTTTCCGCTTTCAGAAAATATATACATTGCCTGGGGTCCGTTGAAAAAAGTGCCGGGTGAAGGGGGCTGAGACTTTTACAATGGGAGTGCTCAAGTAAAGGCTTTTTTACCATTGTAAAAAGACGTCTTCTTGATCACTCCCATTATAAAAGTCTCAACCACCCTTCACCCGGCACTTTTTTCAACGGACCCCAGGTAATGTATATATTTTCTGAAAGCGGAGGACGAGACGGTTCCAATGGTAACCATCACGGCGCACAAGATGTTCACCTGCAAAAGTTGTGAATTTTTTTATGTTAAAAACTCGAAAATCTCCAAAAATCACTAAGCACACCCTTCACCCCGGCAGTTTTTTGGATGGATCTCAGACACACTATATATCGTCTGAAAGCGGAAAACAAAGCGGTTTTAAAGGTGGCCATTTCCTTGTACTATCTTTTCATCTTCAGAAGTTACGGACTTTTTTATCCTAGAAACTCGTAAATATCCAGAAATCACTATCCACGCCGTTCATCAAGCATCTTCTTTGCTTAACGTTAGCTCGCTGTTAGTTTTTTTTTCTCAGCTTTTGGTGAAGGGGGTCACTTTGGTCCCGACTCAGGGGTGAAGGGGGAGGGAGGTGAGAAAATTCTCACACTACGCACCTATGGTTCCGAAGATCCTCCCGTTCGTCTTCTTGAAGAGAAGGCCGGTTCTTGACGTTTTCCACTGGTCGGGAACCTTCTCCTTCTGAAGATGAGATGTTAAAAGCGGCGCTAAAACCTCGTGTAAACGTTGTTCTTCGGCTCGCGGAAATTCAGCGGAAAGATTATTTGGTCTTGGAGCCGTGGACGTCTTCATGGTCTGAATCGCGTGCGCACTTTAACAGGTAGAATCCGTGGTGGTACTTCTTCAGCGAGAACAACGGGCATCGGCACGAGCGTTGATGAGCGGAAGAGGTTGGTAGAAGTTTTTCGCGATCGATTCCATCTTATATCGGGAAAAAGTCGAAGTTTCGTCTTCGTTCAATGGTGCAGCCAGCGGTACGTGATATTCACGAAAGTCCCTTCGGCACGGCATGAAAGCAGTGTCCAGTCGAATCTGGGTGCATAGGTTTTCCAATTAGAAATTGATGAGGGGGTCTTAACTAAAACACTGCCTAAGAGGCAGCGTAAACTGTTCATTTATGGCTGAGAAATCCGTCCCCTAGAACCCGCACCTGCGCCGTGACCGTAACCCGAAAACGACTTCGCTCATTTTAACACTGCGTTCGCACTGGGACCCATCCCAAATATTACGGTCACGGCGCACCCGCGGAGTGTTTGGGGATGGATTTCTCAGTCGTGAAAGAATGATTTGCGCTGCCGATTGGGCAGTGCCTTGACTAAGACCCCCTCGACAGTTTCCAGGCAAAAAACCCATATGCCCATATTTGCCTGGACACTGCCTCTAAGACCACGTCTTCCTTCGGCTGCTTCTAGTATCTTGGCTGCATGTACTTCCTGAGATCCTCCTGCAAAGCTGTTCTGCAACTGGCGTTGGCTATCAGTCGTTCGAGATGAGTTGCATTCGGATTCTGCCTCAGAACTTTTCTTCTTTCGAGCAATTCCTTGGTGGTTTTCGAAATCCACTCCAAGTTCTTCCCAAAAGTCACTGAGGCGCACTCTCCACAGGCTCGCAATCCTTTCAAAAGCCGATCCTAGGCGTACGTTGGGTCTTACTCGATGGACCAGTCACAACTTGATATGAGCTCTTCCAGCCTGTTACCGCCATAAACGACTTCTTTCCTTCTCGCGGCAAGGTGACAGACTTTCTTCTTTACCCTTCGACTGAATCGTATTTTCTCTTGAAGAAGGCACAGCAGAAGGATGGAACTACTGCGACATCGAGCAAGCTCCACCTTCGGTTGGTGAGAATGTGGTCGATCTCCGCGTGAGTCTTTCCCTTGGGCGATTCCCAAGTCCACCGGCGATCTTTCTTCATAAAAATGGAATTTCCATGGAAAAGTCGTGTGGCGGAAAGAAGCCCAGCGAGACGTTGCCGTCTTCGTTCCGGAGCCCATACCGAAACTTCCCGATCCTATATTCCTCTTCTAGTGGCATCCCGATCTTCGCGTTGAGGTCGCCCACAACGAACTTGTAGAAGGACTAGAAGGACTTCTCGTTGCGGACGACCGGCTCCTAGAAAGCATCTCATTATGGTCGTCAGCTGCTGATGTTGGTGAGTAGCAGTTGACGATGCTGATGGTCTTCTGACGTGGAGGTCGTAGTCGTGGGATGGCCAGGCGAGGTGACAAGATCTCATGCGAATCGACAAGATGGACGTTGGATGGGTGGACGACAAAGCCATCGCTTTCAACGTTTCGTAATGGGACCTTCTCACCGCGAATGACGAGTGTCATCACTCATTTGCGCGCGTTTCTTCCTGAACTTTATTTCTTGCAGAGCGATGATGTGATACTTGATGTGCTCTGCAGCGTGATGCGAGATGATGTGCGAGAAGAACGTGGAGGTCGTTGTTTGTGGAGATTGTCCTGGCGTTGTGTGCAGAGCATGAGGCAGTCTCCATGGCGTGCCCTCCGGGCAGGCGTGTCGTTTTTGTCCAATCTAAAAGGCGCCCTGAGGACCCTGATAACGTTCTTGCTACCACCCGGCGCCGTAGGTGGAATCCGATGTACAGGATTTCTTCCTAATCTTCTAACTGGTAGAGTAATGAAATTTTTCCCCTACAAGAGCAAAGTTGCTAGGCCAACTCTTGATTTCCACGGGGCGATCGCCGACCACCCCGGTCTGGAGCGGGGAGAACCGCCTAGCAACCAGAAAACCAGACGGCGGTGGACCCTCCCAGAGTATACAAGCTGTGCATCGCAGTTCGACACAGTATCACCCCCGCCACGTTGAGGCGGCCAAGTACTGTGGGGGACTTTACCAACAATGCCCAGATATACCCTGTTTTATACATACCTAGAAAGCAGCTTGCCGTCAAATATGGTAAGTGCTAAGTGTGACGCTGAGTAGACGAAAGGTAACAGGTTCAAATTTGTTGCACATAAAATTTTATTGAAGAAAAAAGACCAATCGGACGATAGTGAATGCAGAACTAAACTTCGCGGGGAATGGTCAGAACTTAACCCAGCATACCAAAAATTCTGTATATCGTCGGACTCGCCTTTTAATCCTGATCACAAATATATGTTTTTACCTGCCAAGCAACTATTTGGGAGGAATTATGAGCGTTTGAATGTGCGATTTGTCAGGCATTTTTTGACGCATGTTTCACGAAATAGGTTTTAAAAACACATACTTGCGTTTTTGATGAATGTGTTTCTTCCTTGTAATGAAACAACCATAGTCGCTGCGAATACGCGCCATAAGCTGCCTTCCAAGGAAGTGTATTCGTCGAAAGTTAGAGAGCCTGCTCAAAGCCTTGACACTCAATTGCGAAGATAAAAAATCCTTCTTTAATAAAAATTTAGAGATCATGCAATAAGACTTTCGATGAGGCTGAGAAGTATTGCATTGATTTGAAAGGACATTTAGCTTCAATTCACAGCGAGGAAGAGAACAATGTCGTTCATAGTAAGTTTGACAGATATTTAGTGGAGAATTATCTATTGATTTATCACAATTTCCCTTTCTTTAATTTTCAGAAATGTCAGAGATTTATCAAAATTACACATCTTACTCCCATTTTACTTGGATAGGCTTGAGACGCAAAGGTGATACATGGGAGTGGACAGATGGAACACCTCTGGATTTCACAAAATGGTCGGCCAAAGAACCTAACAATTATATGAACTTAGATGAAAACTGTGTTCAGGTAAAAAACTTTCGTTTTTGTTACGGCTTGCAAATTGTCAAAAGCTTTGTGAATATCTACTTTTTTAAGATGTATACTGGCCAGTTGTCCACTTGGAAACCTAATACGGGTGATTTTGAATGGAACGATGTCAACTGCGAGAAAAAGATGTTATTCTTTGTTTGCAAAATGAAAAAACAAATCATAAAAAGTAGAAAGATCTAGCTTCTGGTCAATCATCAATACATGGCAAATAAACAGTTTTTCAGTAGTTCCTTTTTTGATTCTGCTGGCTCTCATGTTGAATACTCGCATCATAAATAGTTAAAGGGGATGCGTTCGTAAAGCAGGTGTTTTGGCGGCAAAATAGTCATTAGTTCTCTGATGAAATCCATACATGTAGTGGTTTTGGCTAATCCGTGGACTGGAAAGATTGTTTCAAAATCATTTAAAAGCAGGTCTCTTGTTCGCGTCAACCAATATGCATCAAGTTTTGAATCACTTAAACTCATCATTTACTAGGCTGTTGCATAAGTTCTGTCCGATTTTTTTGCCTCATGTTTGAAGCAGCTGTTCTAAGAGAATTTCATCTCTAATTCGATACGGTTGGTATCATTGAAAAGTGCTTTCCTTGCGCTTTCTAAAGCATACCAGAATTCAATAAAATTCTTAGTGTACGGAGATCAAAGGCCTAAAATCTCTAAGTGGCCGAGGTACGTTCTATCCCTAGAAATATGTCCTTGCGAGGATATCTCCACAATGCGCCCTTCAAATCAGGTTCTTTCATTGGCTTCGGAATAAGGGTATGGAATGCTAGTATATGCAGAAGTTCGGTCCCATGAAGAATACGTCTTGCTAGTGAAATTTATCCTCGAACATAAATCTTTGGTATAGATGTTTTACAAGCAATAACTTTCTGCGAATAGAAGTAATCGACAAGCTCAAAGTTGGAGGTGCTAGGGCAAAGCAAGAGCTAACAGGGCCCATCCACCAATTCCTTTTCGGCGCTCACGTCAGTTGTAAAACGTTCGTAGTTTATAAATAGGCATGCACACATGTGCTGAAGCGAGGTCAAAAAGTGGCTAATTTTTTGTTCGGTCAAACAAATCTCTCGGCAGCGCAAACCCTATGGGCTCTTTTATGTTGCATAATAATCTACGAAAATTTCTCTATCCATCCATTATTAGAAAAGATGCCTATCAATTTTCATAAGGGAGCGTTACCATGTCAAAAAAGACAGATTCGAAGAAAAACGCTGCGAAGTTTTTGCATTCTTGGTTCTTCCTTAACAAAGATTTGCGCAGATCTCAATATGCATTTTTTAGCCAAGGGACTGCTCAACACAGAGAAACTAAGACCTTGGAAAAAAGTTGACTCTGAAAGAAGTTATGACATTTTAAACTCAAAAATTCAAATCGGACAGAACTTATGCAACAGCCTAGTATTACTCAAATCGGCTGAATGTCCATGCGAACTTTGCGAAAAAATGACGAATTCACAGTTCTAAGATAAACAAAAGCTGCATTTATGAGAACTTCAGTATTTGATCACAGAACTAAACAAACGACACTTACTTCTCTCATATAGAAACAATGCCTAGCTTACCTGGAGTGATTAAGCAACTGTAACATATTTAGTGTAACTAGCTCCCTGATGAGGTTTTGCGCTCTTGGTTGGAATAGGAGTCATTGTTCCTTCAACATCTTGCGTCATTACTGTATGGTTGCATATACTTGTATTAGAAAAGCAGGAACGTAAGTATTCTAGAGACAATGGTGGTATTATGAATGGTACTAAACATTCTCGCAATGCGATCAAGCCAATCTGGTTTTGGTGCATCCAAAGCAATATTTATGGCATAGATATCAGATATAACAGTAATTTTGAATAATGTGCTCACTGTCGTACGAATGAATGCTTGCACATTTTGAGAGCACTAGAGAATGCTCTGCTTGATCTGTACTTCTGCACTGATGGGGTACAGTGGCAGCCTTAGGCCTCGAAAATGAGTCATCTTATAAGAATTCGAAAATATTATTTAGAGTGAAATGCGTGCTGTGTTCTACTTAGGTCCGGCTTGTAGTTTCTTTGCGTATTTAATGTTTGGCCATGTATTTTATGTCATGAATAATAAATCCGCTATCTACCCACATCCGCAATGTCATGAACAGCTTACTTAGAGTTTTCAGCTGATTTCCCTTTGTCAGCTTAAGTGAATTTGCTGCTTGCGTTTTCGAGGCATTTTGTTGCTGGCTAATAAAGATTTCTTTTATATTTAAACAAAGCAGATTTCTCGATTTACCATAATTTTCAATCTTGAGTTTTTGAAATAAGCTATAAAGCATTTTCTAATGCAAAGTTTACGTGACAACTGCGATTCTCGCTCAGTTTGAAGACTAAGTTTTCTGTGATTTTAATTAAGTGACTTTATTCGGATTGCAGTGTGACAATGCAAGAGCAATTTCGTAAAATTATAGTAGTTTCGGAATCTCAACGACAATTGCTTCATATCGACTCAGGAAAAGTTAGTGAAAGAGATCAACTTCACACATTTGATTGAAAAGCAATTTGTTCAGTAATTTGCCTCCCAAAAAATTAAACCGATTACTTAAAACAGTGGATTCAATGGTACTGCTTTGAAGCTAATATTTTGGCGGTTGTGAAACAGAATAATAATTTCACATATATTACAAACCACATCCAAGTTACCCTTCTAATATTTTATGTGAAATTAATTTTCAATTGGATACTGTGCCAAGAGGGAGATTACCTCAGCGAGCTTGAATGTTTACTTAACTTAAGAACAGACTGCCTCAAGATTTTGAAAGTTATGGTTTTTTACACCTTTTATCGAGACTGCCTGAAGAAGCGATCTTTATGCGTATGCATAGAGCGCATACAAATTTCTCGCACTTAAAACGAAAAAGCGTTGAGCAGTTTGCGGAAGGGAAACTAAAAAATAGAGATTTTGCTGCTCAGACCCGCACGCGGCGTTTATAGCTATATTTCATGATACACATTAAACTTAAAATTGCTTGTGTCTCGGCTGTTAACTCGATAATTATCGCTACCTTCTTGAAGAAGATACTCGATTGTATCGTTTAATATGCAAGGTTTGAAAAACGCTACAATATTTAGTACAACGGGGTATGAACACTTCGAAGCCGTATGTAGTTCCCTCGAAGTATCTCTCAGAGACTTATTTATCCTATTTTGAAACGAGGTGCTATCTGTTATGGAAAACGAAGTGACTGATAGATTAATTTTAGCAGAATTGATTTATCATACCATTGTCTCTCTCCATCATCTTAATACTTCTTCCACACTTATGATTTAAACTCTGCTTTCCCAAAAGACCTTTCAGCAAATATGCTCAACTACACCGTTGAATGAGGAAATGGCATTACACTCCCAATTCTATCATTCCGTCCATCATTGTCAGTCTGTTGATATTACGCTGAAGGATGTTTTTCGATTCAGATTACATCCACAACGTGATATGATTGCATCGAAGTTTCCGGCAAACTCCGGTGGACGTGACCTTTTTCGCGAATTGTCGGCACTCGTGAAAAGTAGTAGGAAAGGAAGGAAAATAGGAATATATATAGGAAAAATCTCCCCTATAGTAGTCCTACAGTAATGCGGAAGGAAAAATAGGAAAAAGATTGATGGGAAAAAGGAGGAAAACGGAAAAGGAAAAATCTTAAGATTTTTTAATTTAATCCTACAACAAAATTCTTTCTATCAACTTTAGGCAACTCTGTAAATTCACCTTTTTTGACAATACCGACATTTCGTGATTAATAGTAGATAACTTCAAAACGTTTCGTTAATTGTTGTCAGGGTTAAAGCGTTATTGCCAGGCTCTTCGAGTCAAAAATTGTGGTAAGGCAATGATGGACTGCTTAAAGTTGAAAATCCAAGCTCACCAATTAAGTATTTTCAAGCCAAAATATCAGCTAAAGACTAGGATCTATGCATAAACTTCCTAGGTTTGCTCTATCTAATTTTGATCTAATCTATCCGAAAGTCTTTTTAATATTCTTTTGCTGGATTTTTGGCTTACTCTAGAGAGCGAAAGAGCTATCGAACCGAAGTCAAATAACTTCAGAGTAAATTCCAGTTCTGAAATAACAGTATTAGGATATCAACGTTGAAGAAATCTCCTTCATCAAGCACCGGTCGCTAAGTCTCCACTTTTGCCTAGCACCAAGATCTTGGCCATCATTCCCTAAAAAAAGTGTTTATTTGAAAGTTTTATGGCTGTGTAAACTCCAGAATCTCTTGGGCTCTTACGCAACAGACTTATGGCATGTGAATGAGGATTTGTGATAGATCGTAACAAGCTAAACTCTCGCGTTTGGAAAACGATTCGTCTACCATGCTACGTGGCACAGTCAGCTAAAATTCGAAGCTTAACACTTTTTATCTCAGATTATTGTGTCAGTTTCAAATTATCCTTTTAGGAATGAGCCTACCATTCATATGTCTTTTATCACATGCCACGACAGAGCACATTCGCGCTTATTAAGAGTTTTTTGGGCATGTCATGGGTTAGCCCGCAGTGAACAAATCTCAATTAAATCAACCACCTTTTTTTGTGAATAGAATGTTGGTTAATTGAAGAATCATTGGTCCTATGACGATACATATGGGCAGCTTACTGTAGTGCTCCAAAAAACGCATATGCCAAGCAACTCTGTCTTGGAAAAACCGGATAGATAATATCTTGAACTAATTATTGCGCTCCGCTTGTACAAAGATTGTGAAAAAGTCTGAATTTGGCTTTCTGAAATATTTTATGAAGTTGCCTGCGTACCAATAACAACGTAACAATGCGTAACAGCATGAGACGTTGATTCCAAACATTCTTTTTCACCTGCTGAACGCCTCTAGGCAAAGTAATAGGCCATTTTATTTTGAGATGTATACAAAAATCAAGATGAGATTTTTATTTGGCTCAAAGCTGGCGAAACAAGTGAACGTGAAAATTTATGTATCTAATTTTGCAATTTGTATGCATGATTTTCTTGAGATAAAACGGCTTATAACTTCGTCGACAAAGGTTTTCACCACATGTGGAAGACAGTAAACTCAGCATTCTATTTTGGAATTAAAAGTATTCACTTTGTGAATATTGATCGCTTCGAATCTAATCTTTTCCTTGTAAGGTGACCGCTATTAAGTAAGCTGGAAGTTCTGCCGCAAATTTGTAATAAAAAATGCATCCGCCATTTTATCCCAGCAATCTAACATTCAGAATCTCCTCTTGCACCAGGAGGGAACGTTTTATGCAGGTGAAAGGATGAGGAAGAGGTTAAGCGGTCGGGTTTAAGCAGTCGAAGACTATCAATTTTGAATTCAGGATGTAGAGAGCAGCTATGCAAAAGGTCCAGATGTGGGTCTTTGATCCAACACAAATGGTCCGCCAAGACTTAGCTTGTGAAAAAAAATTGCCACACCTTTGCATTGCATAATGTTTGAACTCCCCGTCGTGCACATACAAATTAAGTTTGGTGCCAAGTTGCCTACACCTCTCAAACGAGTGATTCACATCCCAGAAATGAAAGATTTAGAAACAAACATTCTTCAGTTACATAACTTCAAACCTCATGGTTAATTCCTACAAGCTGTCTCGTCCAGTAACAGCTCTAGTGCCCAAGCACTGCAAAGTCCTTTTTTTGACAACAAGAAAATTTCCGTGAAGAGCTTATTTCTGCTGTGCATATAAATGCAATTTTCTGCGTTCTTGAAATCTTACTTTACTTTGCTTTTTATCCCAAAACGATATACACTTAAAGGGCCACCAGCGCTTTTGACCCGTTAGACAGTCCTCCTTGTTCCCGCGAGTCGTTATAGGAAACGCTGTTTATATTCTAGTTGAATCTGATTTGTTTTCAGACATCATTATGGTCAGTTCCAGCGACGTAATTGTACCACTGACTCACCTTAATCGTGTGGATTTTCTGATCGCGAAGTTATCAATGTATGTATGGTCGAGGCTCTCTATAAAGATTGAGCATTTTTACATGGAATTCCTTCTCAAGCAGTTGCATAAAGCGTTCTAGTCTGAATGAATGCAATTCTTCCACTCTGGACTTTTCTGCAAGAGATACCACGGCTGCCCCGTAGCTGTCACTTCGAAATGCTGGTTGGCACACGGATAAATATAGGACATGAAAGCAAAAGGCGTATTTTGAGCACTTACTTCACGAAACCAGCTGGTGAATTTCATATAGAGACATGCAGAAGCTTGAGACCTCAAAGCTATCTGATTCACAATCGCCAATACAAAAGGCCACGGGACCACCGTGTCACAGCAATAATGACCAGTTCGTGCTTTGAAGACTCAACGATATTTTCAAAAGCGAGAAATTTGTAAAGGTGGAAATAATCGCTCTTAGGTTAGTCTTCAGACACTTCAAGAGAATATCCATAAGAGAAACAATTAATTACGCATTGTCGATGAGATTCAGTGATTCAGTTAATAAAGTACTCCAAAAAATGTGCACAAAGTTTCAAAATTTCAAAATTCACGTTCAAAATTCTCTTGCTTCAATGTCTTCGGCCAAGTTTCAGATACTATCTGCAAAGCTGGTTTTAACTTAGATTTACAGTATGAACTGAATCACAAATTAAGCATTACTGTAGGACTACTCTAAGGAGAATATGAAGATGGTTTCAAAACGTTTTTGGCCATATTCTGTTTATGAAATTAGACCAAACAAGACAAAATTTTTATACTGGGCTCAAGTTGCTGATATGCTATCTTATCTACTCGTGATAATTGTCTTTTCGATTTTTAGAATATGATTACAGTAAAAAGGTGAACAAAGCTAGCTCGTAAAAAGCTGTATAGTGAAATGAGTGAAATCCCCATGCAATTTTTCAGATATTCTTTGCAAAATTTTTATCAGAGTCCCCTTTTACAGACTTTGCAAGCTTAAAATTCCCAACATAAGCTTACGCTGAAGAGTGACCTGGCAGCTTGCTGTACCGTAAATCTAGCTATAAGTTGAAGCCAACTTGATAGATATGTACCTTTGGAGGGACGAACATTGGAACAAGAGAGGTTAATCACTCAAACAGTAGCATATTTTCGAAACCCTTGTACATGTCTCATTTTGATCAGATTTTGATTAGTTTGCGATAAATCGCGGAGTTCATTCTTTGCTATTATGGTTGAAGGTATGCAAGAATTTTCATAAAAGGTTTCTTCGCAAATGCAGGACTCACAGATGTTTACTCCGCATCATTTGAGTCTTCAATTTACGGTGCTTTGTAAAATTGAAGTTCGTGCTAAAAACTGTGCGCGAATACATGCGTCAACACTACTTAAAACTCCTCCTTTCCGAGTATCCTAGTGCTAGGGGTTTTGCGGTGAGGGTAGACATACCTACAGTTTGAACATAATCACAATAAAAAAAACGAGTCTTCTATGCAATTGCCCGAGTCGAGTCCTGCTAAATCAGTAAAAAGCAGAGCGATAAACAATCAACTACTATCTTGGGCTTCAGTCTTTAGGCAAATCAAGATACATCAAACAGATATTTCTTCAAAAGCTTATCGGCATTACTGACTGAACTGAATTTTCAATCTACTTACTTATCGAGTTGGCGACAGGTGGGTTAAATAATTTAGTAAATGCATATAACATATTAGTGACCGACTTAGTGCGGTAAACTAACTATTCTAACTTTGTATCCCACCGCAGATTTTTTTCTTTTTGAGTGTGGCGAACTCATTTTTTGGCAAGGCGTAGATAAGGTTGGAAAGCAAAAGTTGTTTAAGCAACAGAGGAAATCTGGCATTCTTCGACAGCTAGTCATTTTCGAGATTTTACTAGGTCAGAAAGAAGCCGAATTGCTACACAACCCGGAATTGTATAGTTAATTTTAAAAGTTTCTCCAGCATCAATTCATGTGAAGTTTCGGCTAAGTAGCTTCGGTTTGCTCTTGCCCCACTTAAAAAAATATATTCTGATCTGTCACCAAAATTACACTACTTCATATTTGTAACTCACAGCATGATCTACTACGTTATGCCAAAAAATGACTGTGCCGTCAAAAAGAAGCAAGAATGTAGATAATGTTAATCGCAAATATTGGTTGATTTAATACTACACATAATATTCGAAAAGTCTGAAGGTTTTTGCAGCGTGATTTAGCAAACACTTCGCACTTGCTTTTTTTGAAATGATCATAGTCAATACCTTGAAGGGACTGCTCAGAATTTCGCAGATAGGCTCTTTACGATTGCAAGCATTTCGTAAAGCACATACTTTGCAGGTTAAGATTTTTAGTCAGTTTATCAGTGAACAAAATTCTCCTACAATGAATATGTGGCGAGTGTAATTCAATTTAGGGGGTATCAAAGATCTTCGCTTTTCTTGCCTATACATTTGAAGGTGATAAGTAAGCGGCTGACGGTCGAAATCATTCAAGTTTCATAGTTCCAGATCTTTGAAAACCACTCAATTCGTATAATATGTATATAGGCTAATTCTATTTCTACACATTTTCCAAGTAAGACTTCTAAATCAGGTGAGTTTGTGAGTGAAGAACAGACTGGTCATTGTTACTTCCACACTGCAATTTCACTAATCTTCAACACTAGTATATTTTCTACAGAATAAACACATCCACTGACTATCTTGGCACATGAATCTAAAAAGAAAATGTGAAACTTACCGTAATGGACGAATAGAGCGTGTAACACTGATAAACACTGCTTTGATAGCCTCACTAAGAAAAAAAATATGGTCGTGTCAAAATTGACGGAGAGAGCAGCTTTTGGCGCTTGATCACGTAGAAAGCAGCTATAAAAGAGGGGCGTAACTTTCGGATTCATTCAGACATGGGAAATCCATATCTAGTAATCGCAGCGGTAAGTCCCGGGTACTTTTCTGCCTATGCCAGCACATCATTTATTGCAGGTGGCTCTTTTGTTGCCGGCCTTGTGCGCAGGCAAGTTTAGCAGCTCTTAGAAGATGAATTGTGACTACTCGAATAGATAAGCTTTATGACACGCTTTCAGGGCAGACAGAGGGGAATAGTAGTACCAAGTGCCCAGATGGTACAATGACCGAGAATGAGGTTGACTGTCAAATACTTACTATGATCAACACGCGACGTTCGCAATTGGCCACTGGCACGCAATATAACGGATTTAAAGGCTCAGTTACCTCCGGAGTGCAACCAACAGAACTTCCGTCAGCACAAAATATGCGTAAATTGGTAAGTCAATTTACCTACCAGGACTCGGCAGGAGATGGCTAGTTGAAAATGCAAAAAAGGAAGTCCCCCTTGACTTTCGCAAAATTTTACGAAGTCCCCTTTGACTCTGAACCGTAATCGTAAAAAAACCTCAAAACGAAATGTCGACTAAGACGTCGCAATTTCTGTGTCCTCAAAAACGAACCCTTTGCTTTTTGTCCCAAAAACAATATCCAGCTTGCTTGCATGCCACCTGTGCCGAGCCCTGTTCACTGCAAGGAATGTCAGAGTTTAACTGCGAAATCCTAATTACTGCGCGTTAAATTATCACTTATAAGGATAATTGTGATTGAACAAGTAATAATTCTTCCAAATTCTGAAAGTGTGCTAACTCTTATGAGGCAGAACATATGTACAAGATGATAGAAAAGGCTTGAGCCTTCCATTACTGTCTGATTCTGAGAACTATATACAACCTTTGTGAATTTTCTTAAAGCCAGGGAAAATTTCAGAATTGGAGGAATCCAAAAACTTATATTTTTGACCGATGTCTAAGAATTTAGACGAAATAAAAATCAACATAAAAATCAATCAATTAACATCAATAAAAAAATCTTTCATTTTCAGACATGGAGTTGCGATCTTGAACAGCAAGCTAAAACGCATGTGGACGAACTGGTGAGCGCTTGCGAAGTTGCGGATGATGAAAACGTGGAAGCTAATGTTCTAATGAAGTACGAGTTTTTATCTCAATAACAAACTCTTTCCAATCATGAATACATATGCTTAACTCAGCTGTTTAAAGAAATGTGATCTCAATTAGGCTTGAATTTGTAGTAATAATCCTTCTCCCAATTCAATGCTATCATATTTGATGGTGTTCTGATGAAAGTGTTAACTGGTCATCGTACATTTCAGCAGCTCACCCTTTCTTCTTCATGACTTATTTCGACTATATGATCGCTTAATTCTTTTTAGTGATTATGAGTACTTCGACGCCGATTTGTCTACAAGACTCTGGCAAAAGCTGAGCGCCATCGATAACCAAAATCTCACTGGTGTCGGCGAAAGCAGCGTGACTTTTGCTGGTTCAGCTGATTTCGTAAATGAAATTCCACTGAAGGCATATGCTATAGTAAGCCTATAAAAACCCTTGTGTACTGCAACTACCATAAGCTTTTCAGCTAATGAATTCTGAAGCCAAAGAAGTGGGTTGCTCCCAAGGTCAGTGCACGTCCGGTGAACAACCAATATATTACATTTATTGTCTCACTGATAAAGGGTTAGTCATCCATATTTTTAATTGAAACTTTTGTGTACAAGATAGAATAATGTGATGCTTGACTTTTATTGTCTGGCAATTGTGCTGCGTATTATAACCTAAGAGCTTTTCCCCCTGCGGCTCATTCCATTTCGTATGAACGAATAAGAAACAAATTTCACTAAATCTTATAATGTCGTATACTACTGGTACAGCATCAATCTTTTTTTAAAGCGAATCTAAAATTGGAGCAATTTAGTAACAACGCCTCTCCCTCATCTCCCCTCCTTTCACCCAAAGAAGGCACAGGCACATAAGCTACTAGTGTTATACCCATCCTAAGTACTATGAAGGCACGGTTTTTTGTCGTTTCTAGCAAATTTGTTTGCGCTTATTTGGAATGTCATTTACCCCAAGCAAAATCTTATAGGTATCAACCGTCTCTTTATGTGTTGCATTAGTCCTTACGCTAAGAGCGAAATGGGATTTCACTCTCCAGACTTACGGTTTTTGTCCCAAATATCAATTTTTTGCTCTAAAGATGAAAATCTGGAAACATTATGAGCCCAGAAGTCACACAAACTCGGCCGGTCGCTGTGGTCCCCTGGCCATATAACTCTGTCATATAATAATTTGAGCGATAAATGAGCAGAACTTGTTTCGTACATCCAACGTAGACCTAAATGCTTATGTCCAAACCTTAGAGCATCAAATAAATTCTAGAAAGCAAATTTATTCCTTTTCGCAGAAGAGATGAAGTTGAAGACAATCTGAATTTTGCAGGGATATGAGTCCGGGAGATAAAATTTATGATGTGGGTAAAAATGACAAAGGTTGCAATTGCGAAGCTCCCTTGACTTGTGACTCGTCCGGCTTGTGCATTGAACCAGCCAACACGACACAGGCACCAACAGTGACAACTTCCGCCGCAGTTACCAGTGGGGCCGGCTCTCTAGCGCCTGAGACGACAACACTTCTATCCTTGGCCGAGTTCCCCGGGTCAAGTTCGGCAGGTAAGCTACTACTAAGAAAATCAGTCAATCCAGAAATGGCATGTGTCTTAAACCACTGAAGAAGTCAGTGTGATAGTGTCTGGAAATGATGCATTTTTTACCCGAGGGTTCAAGCAGATGAGAAATTTGAAACATTTTCAAGGAGCTGGATATAAAAGAGGTTTTCTGAACTGATGATTAATATATAGTTTTCTTGCTGCGCTTCTGTGTATTTTTGCGTCAAACTATAAAAAAGTGTGCATATAACACTTACTGCATTCGTTAGTGTGACATTTATTAACGCGTACTACGCTCGCTCAAAGATTCACGGTTCAATTTATAGAAATGGAGGTCCCGAATCATATCTGTATCATTGCTTCAAATAAAAATCAAATGTAGGATGTAGTAATTGTTAAGATTTCCTAACTATTCAATTTCAGAGCCAAGCACTTGGTGCAGTTTTGGCGAAATTTCCGACACAATGAGAATGCACATGCAAGACACTCACAACTTCCGAAGGTATAGTTTGCTCGTTATTGAGCTCAAAACGTCAAAGACATAGCAAGTCTTTCAACAGGCATATTAACATGTGCCGTTTTACAAGGTATAGCACAGATTACGCTCTTTTAGATCAACTCTCGCCCTAGGACAAATCACGGATAACACAGGAGCCACACTACCGGCAGCCACTAACATGAATTACCTAGTCGGTTTTTATCGTCGTGCTATGAAACTACTCTGATTATCAAAATTTGTAGCACTGGAACTGCACTCTGGAAGAACAAGCCCACAATTTCCTCAGAAGCTGTCCAACGGAAGGTTACCAAAGACCGAGTGATGATCTACCGGCACAGAATTTCTATCGCCAAACAATTACTTCGAACGAGCCAACATGGAGAGACATGAATAAGAAGGTGCATTTTTGATGTGGAATTGAGGAAGCGAATAATTGGGTTTCAGACGGTTACGGAATGGTGGAAACCTGTGCGAAAGGTTGCCGGTCCAGGACAAAGTGCCAAATTCCTTGCTCAACACAGCGGCAGCAGCATAAGATCTTACACCCTAGTAAGTACAATGCATAATAAACAAGAGTTCCGTGTCTGGTTAATAACCACAATGGTCATTGCTTGAGATTGGCTTTTTTATGAAAAATTATTATTGAAGATGGGCTGGGCGGAAAGTCATCAAATGGGTTGCTCCATTGCCAGGTGCGGTAGCGATTGGGTGGAGGCGTGTCTCTATTACCCTCCGTAAGATCAATTTACAATTTTATTGAGCGCTTTTTGAGCAATGCTAATTCAGAGGAAACAAACCCGGCGCCCTGCAGTACAAACCTGGCAAGGCATGCTCTGAATGCAACACTCTTGGACAGGGACCATGCCAAGCTAGTCTGGGACTGTGTGACTCAGAGAAGTGAGAACATATATTGTTTAAGTTGGGAAATAGTCGGGTATCTGTAGTTATTCTCGTTCTTTTCTATGATGATTTTTTCCAAAATAAATATTATACGGCATTTGTCCTTGTAAATGTTGTCGCTTCCACACAATAACTTTTTATAAAATGTGCTAAGCAAGCGTAAGTGAGAATTTTCCTTTCTTATAACTTCTAATCTTCGCGACTTGGATTTACAAAGTCTACCATCTTGCACAGAACTTATGCAATCAAGCAAGCGTCGAGGAAAAACCGTTCGATTTTGAAAGGCTGCTTTCAGACTGGGTAAGAGAAATTAGAGTACACATCATTCAAATTGGGATATAGTCGGATAAATGTAGTCATTCTCGTTCTTTTCTAAACTAATTTTTTCCAAAAGGAATCTCAAACACGGCCTTGTCCCTACAAAAATTTGTCGCTTTTATGACAGCAGCCTGTCATGAAATATGCTACCTTATCAGTACCTGCACACTGAGAGTAAAGGAGCGGGTACTTCTCCGTTATGTGGACACATTTTTTCAAAAGAGGAATTGCTTCTTTTCTTGTACCATATCTGTCCAAGCTTCACAGGAAGGATTGCTAAACTCCCCCCCCCCCCCCAAAGGGCCAGGAAATATTGACATATTCAATAGATTTACCAAGAATTTGTACTGCCCACCTGATAGTGTGAGTCCAGTTTTTTAAAATCAGATGTTGATCCTGTTTTTGATTCACACCTCAGAAATAAAGCAGCAACATCACAGAATGTTATAATGTTGCTAAAAACATATTGCGTTGTTCAAAACTGAGAGATACGCGTCTGTTCCATAATCTGAACGGCAAATAAGCTACGAGGTATAGTGTACGTCATCCGTGTCACCTCCATACAATACGTTGATGTCTATCATTAACCCTATCACTCCATTTTTCCACATCGGCGGAGAAAGGAGGAACGCTAACACAAATGATAGAATTACACGGGCACTGCCCAACCAAAGCTTGGAAAGCTGGCAGTTGCAAAACGAAGTCGCCTTTGATTATGAAAATCTCATACGAAGATCTCTTTGATCCGAAACCCTAAACGTAAAAAATCTTAAAGAAATAAAACGATTAGAAAAATCGTCGAAGTTTTCATCTCACTTCAATTACACCCCTTTTCTTTCAGTCCCAAAAACGATATCCAGCTTGACCGGTGCTAGCTACGCATCTTTTGAGGATATTGCTTGCTGTCGCCTTCATACATAGCAAGCAGAGTCGAGAAGCACATTACGTAACTATGTTCATGTTGCTTACGACGGAATCAGTATCAGAGCATTTGTCTATGTTTGCGAAGATAGGTTTTAGAAGGGGATAGGTCTTTATGTCTCTCCTAATATCTTAGATCAGGACCATGTTAAGAACGTTTGAACATAAATCCGAAAATGCGGGTGAACGATGACTTCAGCTACAGGAGAAAGTCCAGTAATTATGGAACTTCTAAATGATGTAGGACTTGAGCATCGAAGCAGGAAAGCCACTGTTGATGAAAGAAATGCTCAAAACGTCGTTTTAGTTCTCAGAGTAGAATATATTATATCATATTTATGGCTAATGAACGTTGCATAGAGAGGAGATGCTCACAGTATGGGTAAGAAACACTGGTTTGTTGTCGAGCAGGCCATTCTCGCCTTATCCTGCAATGAAGATTAGCGAAGCCGTGTATCTTATATACTATAAAAATTCATCACAGTATAAAAGCAAGACCAAGTTAGAAGAATGAAATTTTGAAAGAATGAAGAAGCGTGTTTTTACTTGGAATTTTTCCTCAACCACCGAAGGGTCACATATTACATAGAATATCCCTGCCAAAAGAGGAATAAATTGACCGCTGATAGTCAAAAGGCAGTATTGGCCTTTTTGATTGACACAAGAGGATAAGGCTAGCCGAAATAAGGAGTGTAGAATAGGCGGGATTTGTATCTTACAAATCTACGTATCTTTGTATCTTGTTAGAAACAAAAAGTGGTGAAGCAAACTTTGAAAATTTAGTAGTATTCAACAGCAGCAATTATTATATTGCGGCTAAACGGATGGAGAAGTCATGCTCGTTTTATTCAGGATTTCCTAAAAATAGCAGAATAAACAATCAAAAGGAAATTGATCAGTACTCTGAGTGCATTTCGGGCACTATGGCAAACAATATAATTGCAAAATTAATAAACTTTCGGAACTTTCTATCATTCCAAAAGACTGTTGGAAAACCTGATCAAAGAACTCAATCTTTGATTGAAAAATATGTACAATCGTTGAGTTGCACAGAGCTAGTCAGGAAAATCCAAGCGATTGATTGGGAATGTTTTGAAAAGATTGGAAGGTTTGGAGGCATTCAGACGGTTAGGCGTCTATGTCTTCATAAAAATAAAAAGCTTAACTGCACGTTGCTAGCGAGTAATGAAAATCAAAATTTTCTGTAGACAAGAAACGGGGATTTAGTAATTATGGAAGGGGTTTGTCAGTAAGAAAGACATTAAGAATTGACAAGCGAGGAATAAAAGCTCATAAATAAAAGAAATAAGTCTGTGCTTGGATCAGAAAATAGGCAAGTTTGTTCTGTCAGAAACCTGAAAATGCTTTTGTCAATGAGGAGGAATGTAAAAATCTATGGCACACCTAACAGAACCTGAGCAATACATGGTGCATCACTCATTATCAAATGAATTTTTCAACAAAAGAGAAGTTCTGTCGCAATTTGATAATGTTAAAGGCACCGTCCACCCTAAGTTGAGTGTTGAGCTTTTGGCGCATGTAATAGTAGGGCCCTCTATCAATCCAATGCCCAAGTTGCGGCGCAAAATGCCGCTTCAAAAGCGAGAAAGTTGCTTCGGAATAGTGAAGATGCACGAGGACCCCCATCCATGCCCGCCCATGTGCGCGCCCATCCAATCAGCGTTCCAGAAAGTCGGCCTGTGGGTTCTCTGGAATGGGGATTGTCGAAGTTTTCGCGCATTCTCAACTTCTTAGTTGGGATCAGGGACATGAGAATGCCCTGAAAAGACAAAAACTTGGAAGTTGAAAATCTGGGTGGATGGTGCGTTTAAGAATATATAGGTCCGTGCTTCCAAAAAATCGGAGTAGTTGTGAGCTGCAACAACACTTTTCTCGAGACAATTTTTGCCTTCAGGCGTACGATAACAATTTGTATGCGGCTGTGAAGTTCTGCCCAATTTTTGAACCTCTTTTCAAGCGACTGAATTTAAGGAAAAATATCGCTTTTGTAGACACTTTTGAATCATTCAAAAGCTTTTCTCTTCTAGTTCTCATACATGCACCGTCTTGTAGAGCTTTGTTCCTTCTGTGGTTCCATAGCTTGAAAGGACAGCAAAACAAGTGTGAAAAGTTTTCCTTTTCGCTCCATTTACTACTAGAAATGCGAAAAATTTTATCAACTGTTGACGCCAAGCGTAGATTCCAAAAAAAGCATTTTCTGTACCTCAAATAGGGTAAAACAGTATCCTTCTAGATTCCTCTGCGAAAATTTTTAAGAAAAAATTTGGTGAAGTTTAGGTTAGCTTAGGTCTTCAGTACTGCTTAGCTGACTATCGACTACACAGTGAGCAGGGCTACTGCCTACTACATTATAAATCAAATCATGGTTTTTTGAAAATAGTGATTCCCAATTAAACCATTTGGCAGTTTTCGTTGAAAAAATCTTTCGCTAGTTGCTGCAATACTTGAGTATCATGGAAATGATGAAGATTTGTAGATTGTAACACACTTCATTCCATGTGCATCAAAGTTTATCGTTTTTAAGAGTTGTGGTGAATCAAACTTAAACTTCGAAAATGGGCAAGAGTTCTGAAACAATTTTAAATAACACTTGGATAAATAATGCAGGAACCGCGATGCAGATGCCGCGTAAGTTGCAAGATCTTTGCTTTGATTTTCAACAACGCAAAAAGTACTTGTAAAAGCGATGTGCAATTTAGATAACTAACGAAGTACGCAAGATAGACTGAGTTACTATTGAGAATGACCCTCTGTTTCTATTGTCAAAAAAATATTCTAACCCTCTTTGCCCTCTGAGCTAGCTCCGGATTCGTTGGTAACTTCAACTATGGGGGTTGTCTGACATGTTGATTGAAAGATACGGTATTTAGCACAGCTTTTATTGCTTGTGTTGTAACATGTGTCGCGCGAGTACGGTCTTTCATATCAAAAATACAACACCACTCTCAGAATGTGCAAAATTTCCGGGAATTCCGTAAAAGTCCGTGAACAATCACAGAATTCCGTTCACAATTCACATTACAGGAATCCGAGGAATCCACGCGAATCAGGCAAACTGCACGCAGTGCCATAACTTTCTTCGAAATGAATATATTCTGTCGAAATGCAGCATTGTGTTCAGCTCCTCAAGGCGATTCTTAAGATGTACAGCATGTCTCGATATTCCGTTCCCAGTTTTCTTAAATTTCGCGGAGGTCCGTTTGTAAAAATGTAATGCAGCGTTATCTAACATAAAAGATACCAGTAAGTACAGTACTATTCGGTATTACTGATCTTGTAGGTTATAGCGCGCTAAAGTGCAGCCGTAGACTTCTTTCTAGAAGAGATGTGAGTATTGTGAATTCTGGAAAATCACCCATTTCCAAATTTCATTCATCGTAACTTCCTCTGAAATAAATGTGATCTGAATGTAAAAAAGCGTTGTACTCAGCCCATTAAGTCGAGTGTTTTATACAGCATGCCCTTTATATTCCGATTTCAGCATTTCTGAACCTTTTTGCGGACGTCTCTTCGCAAAAGTGTAATGTAGTGCGCATTGCCCCTAGTAGACTCCAGTAAGGACAATTCGATACTACTCCTTCTTAGATTATGCTTCGCTAAAACGTATCCGCAGACTTCTTCCTATAGCAGATAGAAGGGCTGGTTAATTGTGGAAAAATCTTGTCGTCCCAAATTCTACTCGGTAACCCTATAATATGAAGCTATCTTGCTAAGCAGATGTCTGTGTTTTGTTGTTCTATACTATGGATAAATAATATATTTTCAGGAGTGTTCTGTCTTTTCAAAAAAAAAAACTGTTTTTGAATGGGGATTCAATGTTTAAGCTAATTTGGGTGGAGTTTA